GTTACATCTTATTGAGTATAATATAAAAGCACATATAATATAACACATGTAAATAAAAAGTGTTACATTTACCAGCATGATGTTACATTTACTAAATTAAAGACATTTTCTAAATAAATAAATAAAAATACATTAGAACAATGACGGTTACAATATTTTTCTATTGGGCGTCAATTGATTGTTAAAACTAGTTCGCATATGGTGTTGACATAGTTGATTTAACTATTCATTAAAGTTAATGATAGAGTTAATAAATTTTTTTTTATCAAATGAATGAAAAATGGTAATTTGTATAAATGGTCTCCAACCTCTTTAGTAAGTGACAACTTAATCCCTAACTTTTTTTTTTGACAAAATGACTCCCAACATCTTAAAGAGGTGACAGTTTGGTCATTTCTGTTAAATTCCGTTAAATTTTTAATAGAATATGTCACGTGACCCCCTTTTCTATAAAATGACTTAAGTGCCCCCGTAAAAATTATCCCTTTCAAGTGGGGAGGCGCAATTGGCGTATGGGTTTGGTGTGGGTGGGATTTGGGTTCTTTAACTTGCAAAACCCATATTCATCTATTTATAATAAACCATAATATAAATAGATTACAAATAAATAGTCATGATCTTAAGTCCGATAGTTGTACTGTACGAAAACTGTAATAATTTTTATATTAACTTATAATTATTTTTTAGTGTAAAATGATCATATTGAAGCAAGTTATATGTAATATGGTGGTAGGTTACATCTTATTGAGTATAATATAAAAGCACATATAATATAACACATGTAAATAAAAAGTGTTACATTTACCAGCATGATGTTACATTTACTAAATTAAAGACATTTTCTAAATAAATAAATAAAAATACATTAGAACAATGACGGTTACAATATTTTTCTATTGGGCGTCAATTGATTGTTAAAACTAGTTCGCATATGGTGTTGACATAGTTGATTTAACTATTCATTAAAGTTAATGATAGAGTTAATAAATTTTTTTTTATCAAATGAATGAAAAATGGTAATTTGTATAAATGGTCTCCAACCTCTTTAGTAAGTGACAACTTAATCCCTAACTTTTTTTTTTGACAAAATGACTCCCAACATCTTAAAGAGGTGACAGTTTGGTCATTTCTGTTAAATTCTGTTAAATTTTTAATAGAATATGTCACGTGACCCCCTTTTCTATAAAATGACTTAAGTGCCCCCGTAAAAATTATCCCTTTCAAGTGGGGAGGCGCAATTGGCGTATGGGTTTGGTGTGGGTGGGATTTGGGTTCTTTAACTTGCAAAACCCATATTCATCTATTTATAATAAACCATAATATAAATAGATTACAAATAAATAGTCATGATCTTAAGTCCGATAGTTGTACTGTACGAAAACTGTAATAATTTTTATATTAACTTATAATTATTTTTTAGTGTAAAATGATCATATTGAAGCAAGTTATATGTAATATGGTGGTAGGTTACATCTTATTGAGTATAATATAAAAGCACATATAATATAACACATATAAATAAAAAGTGTTACATTTACCAGCATGATGTTACATTTACTAAATTAAAGACATTTTCTAAATAAATAAATAAAAATACATTAGAACAATGATGGTCACAATATTTTTCTATTGGGCGTTAATTGATTGTTAAAACTAGTTCGCATATGGTGTTGACATAGTTGATTTAACTATTCATTAAAGTTAATGATAGAGTTAATAAATTTTTTTTTATCAAATGAATGAAAAATGGTAATTTGTATAAATGGTCTCCAACCTCTTTAGTAAGTGACAACTTAATCCCTAACTTTTTTTTTTTACAAAATGACTCCCAACATCTTAAAGAGGTGACAGTTTGGTCATTTCTGTTAAATTCTGTTAAATTTTTAATAGAATATGTCACGTGACCCCCTTTTCTATAAAATGACTTAAGTGCCCCCGTAAAAATTATCCCTTTCAAGTGGGGAGGCGCAATTGGCGTATGGGTTTGGTGTGGGTGGGATTTGGGTTCTTTAACTTGCAAAACCCATATTCATCAATTCTCAAATTCCAATGATGTTCATCACTAGATTTGCAATCATGCTCTTCTCCACGAAGCTTCTCTCCTCAACATCACGTTCATCTCCATTAATCCCCAGCAATTCCTTCTCCTCTCACGTGTGGGATGAATGACCATTCCAAATGTAATTTTCATGTTTTATCCATGTTTACCCTTCATCTTTCTTTTTTTTTTCCCCATGACCAATGCCTCCTAATGCTGCTTCTTCTACTCCAATGACAATGCTCGTCTCTTCAGATCTACCACCACCACATCGACCACAACCTTTGCCGGTCTCATTCTTTTCTACCGGTTAGATCTCTGATGCAGTCTAGACTATCTATGCCCAGTACTGGAACTTAGGGAAGGCATGCCTGCCCAAAGCTTGAATTTTTCGGGCTTGGCAGGTGGACCTATAAGGCCGCCTGTCCAAGCAAATTTTTAGGCTTGGCTACCCAAGATGGTCATAATCACCGAAAGAAAGCCTCCAACCGTCGACCGCCGAAATTTTTTAGATTCTTTTCACTCTGGCCCGAATTGCTTGAAGCCCGATCAACAACTATTTTTTTGACCGTTGCCCGATTTTCGGCCCGAACTCGCCCTGCCGAGACCAAAAACATACCGTTGGATCCGAATTTTGAGGGAAAAAATCAATTTTTTAACCTAAAAATTTCTCTATAAATACCCCTCATCCCCCACACATTTTTCTCACCCAAACTCTCTCAATCTCTCTCAATTTCTCTCAATCTCTCTCATTTTATCTCAATGTCTTTCAATTTCTCTCAATCTCTATGAATCTCTCAAATCTCTCTCACAATTTTTCTAAAAACTATCACAATATCATAAAGCTCTCTATCTCAAATCGTTCTTATTTTTAATAATGTGTGTTGAATGTTGATTTTAATTTTTATATAATTTTAACACAAAATAACTTAATAATTATTTACATACAAATACAATTACTAAATAATAATATATTATATATAATATATATATACAATATTATAATAATTAAAAAATATAATTAAAATTTTTTTTTCGGGCCATTTGGGCAGGTGGCCTGAAAATTTCAGGCAGGCGGGTTCGAGCGTCGAGCTCAAAATTGATTTTTTCGGGCAGTCGCAGGCGGGCCGTATAAAGTTCCAGCACTATCTATGCCTAGATCGTCATTATCCTCTGCTACCCAAATTGGTTCTCCCTCATATCGTCCCCTTCCTTTGCCACCCAGAGCAGATCGGCCTTTTGTCACCCAGATTAAGTCTCACCGAGATCGTTTCCCTCCGCACTGAACTCCGGCGACGAGGATCTTATGCTTTTCTAACTTCTGCGCAGAGCTTCAAGCCCCTTCATCATCATATTTCTTGTTGAAATTCATTTCAAACAGAAGAGGCAGAGCTTCGCCGAGTCGCCTCTGCGCGTGCGATAGAGACATAGAGAGAGAGAGGCGGAGAGAGCAGAAGGGATAACGCTCACCGGAGTTGGAGAGGAGGAAGAAAAAGGCAGTGAGTGTGAGGTTTTGATGGCATTTTTGTATTTTAATTGAAAAAAGAAGGCACGCGATGGTCACATCCAGGAATATGCTAAAAATTTAAAATAAAAGACTAAATTGTACCCATTTAAAGAGGTTAGGAGTCGTTTTGTAAAAAAAAAAAAATTTAAAGACCAAATTTGTCACTTATTAAAGCATTTGAAAACCATTTATGCAAATTACCCATAATATATAAGACAAGAGTTATTTATTTATTTATTTATATTCATTTATTTGTCTATCTGTTTTTTTTTTAATTATTTTAAAGTAAGGTGTGTGGCTAAGTTAGACCGTTTATTTTAGGTCAAATAAAAATTAAAACAACGAGAGATTCAATTTGTTTGAAGACATTCAAATCGAACCAAATCATTTAATAGATCAAATCTAAATCAAACCAAAATCGCAATCAATTTAGCTTTTTTTAATTGATTTGAAATAATATTTATCAATATGTTTTCGACCATAATTAGAATCGTGAAGTAAGTATTTGGTTCACAATAGAAATAGAACATCAGAAGTCAAATTAATCGTCGATAACAAAAATAAAATATTCAAATTTATAAGACAAAAAAATATATACAAACTAACTATAACAAATGTATAGAATATATACAATTTCTTAAAATATATATAATTGTTTTTTAAGAGCAAAACTAAAACCACAACAAATGAATTTAATTGTTTTTTTTTTTTTTGGATTTCAATAAAACCGAGTCAATTATTCATTGGTTTTACTTTTATTTCGCGTACGTTTGACATAAACTTGATCGCTTCTCCTTATAACAACGGGAGCCCGCGCAGATCCATATAACTAATACCACATAAATATGTTTTTTTAATAAAGAGATAGTAATAAATAGTATTATTTAAGATTTGTTTATTTTATTAATTTAATTTTAAAATTTGAGTGTTACTATAGTAAAAAAATTCTCAGAAATAATCACATTTAATTTTTTTATTATAATAAAAAATTCTCATATAAATTTACATATTAACTTAAATTAAAAATTTAAATCAATACTAAACTCTAAATATAAATGTTGATTTTATTTTTTTATTTTTGCTACAGTTTAATTTTTCAAAACGATTCCCGCCTTTTAATAGTACCCACTTGCAATTCTAAAGAGTACTGTAGCATCACGGTGGCTTTACACAACTACAGCACGTACCGATCAAATAAGATTTCCAACCAGAAAAGCATTTTTAACTCCACGTGGCAACACCGCGTCGCATGGAGAACCAAAGGCGCCGCTGGTGAGACAAAACCGAAAAACAGCCACGGAGAAAACTTGGCCAGGTTTTGGAAACTCTCAACCCGTAAGCCGCAAAAAAAAAAAAAAAACATAGTAATTACGTTCAGACCCTCCTCGCGTACGTTTCTTTTGTCATTGTCCGACGCTATAAATACGACCTCTTGGCCAACCCTGTTCTTCACCGCTTACAAGAATCAAAACATCAAAATTCGATTGGTTTATTTGAAGTGAACAAGTTTATTAATTAATACAAGTCGTAATGACTGCTACAGCTGGTCAGGTCATCAAGTGCAGAGGTCCGCTACAACTTTCATTTTCTATAATATTCTACTCTTTTTTTATTTTTTATTTTTACAATTTACCCATTTATTTATTTTTCTCTTCCCTTTTCTTTTCTGATTGTGGAAGTTTCTAAAGATCGGTCTTATTATCACTGATTTCTATAGTTCTAATTTTGGAGTATGTAGATATCAACTGTTTCTTGATCATCAGGTGTTAATATGTGCATTTTGGATGCAAATCTTTCTTTTCGTTTTTGTTTTTTTTTTTTTGTTAAATTGTGTTTTTGGTTTCAAAGTTTTTTGATCATCGCTTATCTTTTTGTCTTAAAACAGTGATTTTGGCAAGCGGGTTGATCTTTTATACTAGGCATGATCTTACTATGTCTTTATTTGTAAAATTTTGACTGTTATCTACTCTGTTTCAAGCTACTGAAACCCTAATCTGTTTGTTTAAAAAATAATAATAATAATAATAAACCGTTTTCCGTTTCTTGCAAATGGGTATTTCGCACTCATTCATGATGATCTTTTAGGTTAAGTACTATTTGTTTGCACAGCCTGGTGTTTGAATTTTCTTAAATATTGGTCCATTAAAAGTGCTTTGCTTCATACTTTGGTTTGCAATTGCTCTGCTTTCAATTAGTTAGATTTTCCTTGGGTGATTTTTCTTTTGTACACATTCATTAGATGAAATGATCATAATTGTCTTGTTGGATTTGTGTTTGCATTTTTGTAGCTGCGGTTGCGTGGGAAGCAGGGAAGCCACTGGTGATTGAGGAAGTGGAGGTGGCACCGCCACAGGCTAATGAAGTACGCTTGAAGATCCTCTTCACTGCCCCTTGCTGCACTGATGTCCATTTCTGGGAAGCCAAGGTAACAGATGGGTCATCATAAATTAGATAAACAATATGTTGTTTGATCCACATACATTCTGTTTAGTGGCTAAAATTAGTTAGCTCTTTGTCAATCCTATAAAGTTCCACAAGGTGCAAATGCTAGCTTTATAGTCATTTATTCAGTTTTCAGTTTGTTGGGAAAGACTTCTGTTACGCTTTACCCAATTTTATCTCCTGATTTAGCCCGGGCAAGAAAATTTATAAGATTGAAGACAAGTTTTTGTTGGAAGAGGTGTTAAGTTTGAAAGGGTTTTGTTTGTTTTTGCAGGGACAGACACCATTGTTTCCCCGAATATTCGGCCATGAGGCTGGAGGGTATGTATTTCTCTATATGCTTGTTTAGGTCCATTTAGCAAATTCTTGTGCTTTTCTATCGATCATTTCTGATCATCATTGTTTTCTCTTCGTGATAAACAAAGACCAAAGTGACAAACTGTACTTACTATTTGTTTGCAGTATTGTTGAGAGTGTTGGTGAGGGCGTAACCGAACTTCAGCCAGGAGACCATGTACTCCCTGTGTTCACTGGCGAGTGCGGAAAGTGCCTGCACTGCAAGTCAGAGGAGAGCAACATGTGTGATCTCCTAAGGATCAACACTGACAGAAGCACCATGATCATTGATGGGAAGACAAGGTTCTCTAAAAATGGACAACCCATTTACCATTTTCTTGGGACCTCTACCTTCAGTGAGTACACCGTTGTCCATGCTGGATGTGTTGCCAAGATTAACCCTGCTGCCCCCTTAGACAAAGTCTGTATCCTTAGCTGCGGAATATGCACGGGTATGTTTATTAAAATTTATCGTATTGTATAGTAGGGATTCTTCGCTTTATTTATTTATTTTTATTTTAAAATGGTACACAATGCAACTCATGAGTCATAACCTGGTTTATTGGCTTATACTTTTTGTTTGATCGATTTTTCCTATTTCTTGAAGGTCTTGGAGCCACTCTGAATGTTGCAAAACCGAAAAAGGGTTCATCTGTTGCTATTTTTGGATTGGGGGCTGTTGGCCTCGCTGTAAGTGATTCCTGTTAGTAGTTTGTTATTTTGCTCCTGGCTACAGTATGGAAGAGTTTGTGATGATAGATCTTTTGCATTCTTAGGCTGCTGAAGGTGCGAGGATTTCTGGAGCTGCTAGGATCATTGGTGTTGATCTGAACTCGAGTCGATCCGAAGAAGGTTAGTTGGATTTATTCATGTTAAGTACATCCAAGGACATTGGAGTTTCTGATGATAACTTTGCTACTTATTCTTACTGGCAGCCAAGAAGTTTGGCGTGACTGAGTTTGTAAATCCAAAAGATCACGAAAAACCTGTTCAAGAGGTTGGTTCATAATCCAATTAACTTAGAATATTTCTTAAACATGTATTGTTTTAACATCTGAATGTTATACTTCAACAGGTTATTGCAGAGATGACTGACGGAGGAGTGGACCGGAGCGTCGAATGTACAGGAAGCATCCAAGCTATGATCTCTGCATTTGAATGTGTTCATGATGTAATTACTTGTCCAACCTTATTTCTTTTTCGAAACATAAAGGGCCTGTTTGTTTTCATTTCTGAAAACGTTTTTCACGTTTTCTAAGAAGAGAAAAATGAAAATACTTTGAAGATCGTGTTGGGTGGAAATCGTACAAAAACGAAAAATGAAAACGGTTTTGTATTTATCCTAAAAAGTTAAACGTTTTTGAAAACGCTTTCAAGTCGTTTTCATTTTCTCAGATTTCTCCTTCTTCCCGTTCTCTTCTCTCTCTTGTCTGCCATCAACGCCGGCAACCGTCCGTCGGTGTCCGCCACCACGCGGTGAAATTTGGGGGGAAATTGGATCGTAGGAATCTCAGCTTTTAACCATTTGCTTTATAAACAAGTCGTGACGAGATCTTAAGCAGCCTCTCAATTACCTTTCTGTCCACAAGACTATCATCAACCGCAAGAACATGAAGCTTCGACGGCGAGTCGCCGGAAACTTCTACGTTTTCTGGTAATTTTGGCCGGAGAACTTCATCCGCTGCCACCATAATCGCCTTAACTCAAATGAGTATCGAAAAAAATGCCGCAAAAAGAAAAACTCACTTCCACAAATCCACAAAAACTCCAAAAAATGCAGATGGGAATATATATATATTTTTTTGGCAATAGTGATAGAAATAGTAATAGTAGTAATATGAGCTAAAATAGGGTTGTGAGTTGTGACTTGTGAGGACTTTATAGACTGGGGGTGTTTGTACGAAGATGGGGGAAGCTTTGGTTAGTTTGATGTTTTGTTGTCGTTTTTGGTGTTTTGTTGTCATTTTTCAAATTAAGAAAAAGTTTTTATTTTATTTTATTTTTATTTTAAAGATTTTTCTGAAGTGAATTGATTTTTGGGATTTAATTTGTAGTGACTACTGTAGAGAGTGAGAATTGGTTTTATTTTAAATACTATTACATATTTTTAAAAATTAAATCATCAAACGCAGATTCAGTTTTTCTTAAAATTGAAATCAATCTCTGAATAAAACTACCAAACACATTTTCATAAATAATTTCAAAATGAAAATGAAAACGTTTTCATTTCTATTTTTATGCAGAAAATAAAAATTATTTTGGAACCAATTCCAAACGCAACCAAACTTTCTTTCAAGAAACTGAATTTGGCTGTTTTTTCCAGGGTTGGGGTGTCGCCGTGCTAGTCGGTGTTCCAAATAAAGATGATGCATTCAAAACCCATCCAATGAATTTCTTAAATGAGAGGACTCTGAAGGGTACCTTCTATGGCAACTACAAACACCGGACCGATCTCCCTTCTGTTGTGGAAAAGTACTTGAACAAGGTAAATTTAACTTAAATACAACTGAACTTTTTGCATAGCTATATTTTGAGATTTTACTTGAAGTGGGGTTTTGGAGCTTAGTTGAAATCGGCTAGAAATTTTGAATGCCGAGTTTTTTCTTACATTGTATCTTGTGAAATGATAATAATTAATCTTTTATACAAAAGAATTTTATTGCTAATTGTACAAAACTTTGCCTTCCACATAGAAGGCATTGCTGGATTTGATTTTTGTTTGGGCCTTACTTTTTATTATAGTATATATTAATTTTGCTTCATGTTATAATATTATTTATGCCAATATATTTTCTGTAAAATAACTCATTTTGTTTTTGGTACTTGCAGGAATTGGAACTTGAGAAATTCATCACTCACTCGGTCTCTTTCTCGGAGATCAACAAGGCCTTTGACTACATGCTGAAAGGACAGTCTATCCGGTGCATCATCCGCATTATATATATCTGTATATCTATATATTTGTATGTTGTATTTGTATAGGTGTTTGTCCCTGTCACGCTGAAAAGAGAATAATTTGGATATGCTCATGCATGTTCTAGTATTGTGCCGAAAAACTACGTCTATGATCACAATGCGGTTTAAGTGGCTTTTGTTTCTAATGTTTCTCTTGTACTTTTTGAGTCCCACTTTGCTCATAAATATGTTTGTGTTTTCTTTATAACTTTTTTTTTTGTTTGTTTATAATAACAATGCGGTGGAAGTGAACATTTTTTTTTCCAAAATGTCAATGAGTGGTTGATTGATTTGATGGTTATGACTGATTGATTGATATTCATTAGTGTCTAACCAAATATCAATAAATAATTTGGTATACAAATTGGCTAAATTTGATTGACAAACGCATTAACTATTATTTGGTCGTAGAATGTCAATTTTCTTCTTGTAGAAAATATGCCCTTCAAAGCACTTATTGACATTATTTATTAGGACAGTCATATCTGCAGTATGTAACACCATTACGACAATTTTGAGTTTTTAATTTTAGTTAAGATATAATTTTATATAAATTTTTTTATTATAATAAAAAAATTAAATATGATTATTTTTAAGAATTTTTTATTATAATAAAATTCGAATCAATTAAGGAGACGTTTGGTTCATGGATTAAAATTATGAGATTAAAATCATTTTTAATTTACATGTATTTTTTATGAGAGAAAATACTATAGCGAACCATGAATTATAATTTAAATCGGGGTACGAATCTCCCAACTAAACAACCCCTAAATAAATACAACATTCAATTCTTTACTTTCAAAATTTTCATAGTTCTACCATTTCCCATTATATTTTCTGTTACTAAATGTTTTTTTTTTATTGCCGAATATGGGTTTTTTGACTAAAATTTTGGTAACAGAAACTTCGCCTTTTCTACCGACCGATAGCTTTCAACGGGAAATCAATTTGGTTTCGTGCTATGTTTATGCGATTAAGTAGGAATATCGTTGAAAATACCTCACTTTTAAATACGTTTGTAGTTGCATCCAAGGACATTGGAGTTTCTGCATTTTACAATTTTGGTCGCAGAAAGTGTTCCGAGAAGTCATGTCCCAAACGAAGTTAATTTACAATGGCTGTCAAATCAATTCTGTGATGATTATGAGTTTTATTGGGCCAATTTACAACGTGTCCAAATATAAATTTATATAAAATTTCATGTACTTTTTCTTCTATATCTAATAGAGGCCCTTTTTAGAAATTTGAATTTAACAAAATTCACAAGTCGTGGATGTACTGGAATTTTAGACGGTACACCTGTGACCATTTAAAAATATTGAGTTTTTATCTGAGTTCATGCTTGACCTATCCGAAAAATTTAGGCCGTCCGTCCGAACCCGAAAATTATCTTGAACGGGCGTGGGCTTGTATTAGGCCGATCGAGCCCGACCGGACAATCCAAGCCCGCCCGAATAGTCTAAATTTTTTTTTTATATTTTTTTAATATTAAGTTATTTTGTATTAAATTATATATATATATATATTACAATTTGAAATTTGAAATGAACACACAAATTATATAAAAAAATTATTTTTTTATTAATTTTTAAATTTATAATTCATGATTGTCTCGTTAAAAATCTTACAAGAAAAAACTTAATTGAGATAAAAACTTAACAAAAAAAAAATGCAATTATTTTATAACGAATTATAGTAATCATCTCAGACTCCAGCATTACGCAGGAATATGTGCATGTTCTCATCAGTTAGGAGGTCGTGGTTAAGCAATAATATGATCTCTACCTTATTTAACTTTTGTAAACTCTATCACAACGCGTTGAGATGGCCGAGTTGGTCTAAGGCGCCAGATTAAGGTTCTGGTCCGAAAGGGCGTGGGTTCTAATCCCACTCTCAACACGTTTCAATTTTAATTTGACTTGTATTTTTCTTTTATATATAAATCATAAATTTTAAATGGTTTTTCTTTCCTTTAAAAAAAAAAAAAAAAAAGAACAAAGCGAAACAATGCTAAAACACACTCCTTCTTAGTAGTGACTAGAAAATAAATAAATAAGTAATGTGATGAACAAAAGTTTAGGGCAATAACACAAAGGGAATTATGTAATAGATAATAATAAACGATAATAGAAATAGATTACAAATAAATAGACATGGACTTCTGAGAGTTGTACGGTACGGAAAGTGTAATATCTTTTATATTAACTTATAATTATTTTTTAGTGTAAAATCATAATATTGAAGTTGGCCGTATGTTACATTTTATTGAGTGTTATGTAAAGACACAAATAATGTAACACATGTAAATAAAAAGTGTTACATTTACTAGCCTCATGTTACATTTACCAAATTAAAGACATTTTCTAAATAAATAAATAAAAATACATTAAAATAATGACAGTCACAATATTTTTCTATTGAACGTTATTTGATTGTTAAAATTAGTTCGCAGACATATTTGATTTACTATTCATTAAAGCTAATGATAGAGCCAATAAC